AAGCACGGCGTTAGCCAAGTGTGGTAGCTCATGCCTATAATTTCAGCACTTTGGGAGCCCAAGGTGGGAGGATGGCTTGAGCCCAGGAGTTTGAGACCAGCCTGGGCAACATAGTGAGACCTCATCTCTACAAAAAATAAACAAAATTAGCCAGGCATGGTGGCACAAGCCTGTAGTCTCAGCTACTCAGAAGGCTGAGGTGGGAGGAAAGCTTGAGCCTAGGAGGTGAGGCTGTAGTGAACTGAGATTGTGCCACTGCATTCCAGCCTGGGTGACAGAGCAAGACCTTGTGTCAAAAAAAAAAAAAAAAAAAAAGGAAAAACCACAGGTCTTGGTGTCCCAGACCTAGGTGCAAGATCTTATCTCCCCCATGTCCTTTAAGTAAGTTAACCTCTTCTAAGCCCTCATTTTCTCCACCTGTAAAATGGGAAAACAGCAGTACTGTCAGTGGGGTTCTTAGGAAAAGTAAGCATGATAATATATCTGAAGCGTGTTGCCAGTGCTTGATGCCTAGCACTTAATCATAGAAGCTCTTGCTATATTTTGGTTATTTTTTTAGATCATGAGTATGAACACTCTTTTGGAAAGATTAAGGAACTCGGTTGGGGAGCTCCTCCAGGGCAGCAAGTCCTCAGTCCCTGGACTAGACTTGGGCTCCAGGGGCCAATTCACAGTAGGTGCTCAGAAAACATGTATAGAGGGACAGGATCCAGGCCTTAACCCTTTCCCTTGCACATAAAAGTGTCCACTATCCTATAGAGGGTGGGGAGGTAGGAGGGGTACTTAGGAAAAGCACTCTTGTCCCGAGGTGGAGAGCTCACTTACTAGCCCAAGGACAGGAAGAACTTGAAGATGCCTGATGCCTACTCTCCTCCTCACTCTCCACAGGGCCAGAGGTGGAGGCTCATCTCAGGAAGCTGGGCCTGGGCTACCGTGCCCGCTACGTGAGTGCCAGTGCCCGAGCCATCCTGGAAGAACAGGGCGGGCTACCCTGGCTGCAGCAGCTACGAGAGGCCTCCTATGAGGAGGCCCACAAGGCCCTCTGTACCCTGCCGGGAGTGGGCACCAAGGTGAGGCCCCAGGGGGTAGGAGCTACCCTCTCCACTGACACTTAAGAGGAGAGCAGGAAATGAGCCAAGCCTGGGAGCTGGGTGGAGGCTTGGCTTCCGGAGGCAGAGCAGGAAGGAGAAAGGATATAAGTAGATGTTTTATGAGAGAAAAAAGCAGAGTGCAGAAAGAGTGGAAAGGATATAGCCCTTTGAATGAATTTCTAGAAAGACCATTTGTTCACATGCAACACATATGTGCTGCTATATATATGCAGCAATTTCCAGAAGGAAATTGCAGGAAACTGAATAGTTTCCTTGGGGGAGACAAATGGGAAGATATTTCTCCTTTTCCTATTTTGTTTGTTTGTTTTGGTAGAAACAGGCTCTTAACAATGTTGCCTAGGCTGGTCTTAAACTCTTGCCCTCTAGCAGTGTTCCTGCTTTGCCCTCCCAAAGTGCTGGAATTACAGGGATGAGCCACTGCTCCCAGCCACATTTTGTTCCTTTC